CTTCACCTGCCTGACTAACTGTTAGCCTGATATGCCGACAAAGTTAGTTGGTAGGGGAAGGAGTTAACCCTTTTTGCCCAGTTATCCTTCAGATGCTTCTTCGTTTGAAGTTTGCTGATCCTCCGGATGATAAATATTTTTTATAGGTACCAACCCCTATCTGGTTTGAGCCTTCTTTGTAAGGCTCTGGTGAGTACTTACCCTCACCAGGTATGAGTCTGCATTTCACTAGACTCTTGTGGGTACCTACCCCCACTAGGTATGAATCTGCTCTTCACTAGATTCTGAACCATATTCCATAAGGTTCTTGTGGGTACCTACCCCCACTTGGTATGAACCTTGTTCTGCAAGGCTTTGGTGAGTACCTACCCTCACCTGGTACGAGTTCGCATTTTGCTAAACTCTTGTGGGTACTTACTTCCGAGGTGCTCAACACTTGAACTATCCTGTAATAGAAGCAAGGTATTTGCAACCCGTTTTTGTAATGCTCTGGTGAGTATTTTACTCTACCTGATGCATTTTGCTAGGTTTTGATGAGTACCTACCCTCATCTGGTACAAACCTTATTTTGTAAGGCTTTGGTGGGTACCTACCCCCACCTGGTACGAATCTGCATTTTTGCTAGATTCTGATGAGTACCTACCCTCATCCGGTATAAACCTTATTTTATAAGGCTCTGGTGGGTACCTACCCCCACCTGGTATGAATCTACATTTTTGCTAGATTCTGATGAGTACCTACCCTCATCCGGTACAAACCTTATTTTATAAGGCTCTGGTGGGTACCTACCCCCACCTGGTACGAATCTGCATTTTTGCTAGATTCTGATGAGTACCTACCCTCATCCGGTACAAACCTTATTTTATAAGGCTCTGGTCGGTACCTACCCCCACCTGGTATGAATCTGCATTTTTGCTAGATTCTGATGAGTACCTACCCTCATCCGGTACAAACCTTATTTTATAAGGCTTTGATGGGTAACTACCCCCACCTGGTATGAATCTGCATTTTTGCTAGATTCTGATAAGTACCTACCCTCACCCGGTACAAACCTTATTTTATAAGGCTCTGATGGGTACCTACCCCCACCTGGTACGAACCCCGTTCTGCAAGGCTCTGATGGGTACCTACCCCCACCTGGTATGAACCTCGTTCGCAAGGCTCGATGAGTACCTACCCCCACCCGGTACGAATCCCGTTCCGCAAGGCTCGATGGATACCTACCCCCACCTGGTACGAACCCCGTTCCGCAAGGTTCGATG